AGCACCAGACTGGGGAGTAGGCCAGTAAGTCCAGTTCTATTTGGGCTGAGACGGAGGGTGACTCCCAGCTCGAAAAACTAAGGGGATGGCAGGTAGCAGTGAGGTCCTCAGGGGAGCCACAGGGTCACTAGGCAGTCAGGTACTTTGAGGTGGCTATTTTGGTCCAGCCATTTTGAGGTCACAGATAGTTTAGCATGAGGAAAAACTATATAAACAGATTTGAGAGAAGATGCCAAAATACCAAGTGATTTCCTATTTAGTAACCCGAACACACAGCATGAAACTTTAATTTTGTTTTTTAATTGTCAACAAATATTTAGTGATTGTTTACTAGGGAGCAGGCGCTCACTCAGCAGGCACTGAAGACCCAGTAATGAGCAGCAGGGCTGGAAAGGACAGATAAAGGAACAGTCACCTGGGGGGAGGGAAAGATCTCAGTGGTAGAGTGCATGCTTAGCATGCACAAGGTCCTGGGTTCAATCCCCAGCACCTCCATTAAATAAATTAATTAGTTGTTAAAAAAAAAGGAACAGTCACCAAAAACCCTCATGTAACTATAAGTCATGTTACATGCCTTAGTAATAATATTATACTACTACTAATAATAACATGAACTGGGATGATTGTTAGTCAGGCACTCAACACATTCTTTCATTGAGTCCTCACAACTCCAGAAGGCAGGTGTGTTTTCAATCCTGACTTTACAGATGAAAAATCTTGAGATGCAGAGAAGTTCAGTGACTTGCTAGGAAAAGGCAGAGCTGCGATTTGAACACAGGTCTGACTAAAGAGCATGCACTTGCCCATGAAGTAAAGAGCAAGGTACCGGAGAGAAAGAAAAGCATTTGCATGCTCCCTGTACCCTCAGCCTGTCTCTGCTTTTCTAGCCCAAGCAGGATGACAATCCTATTGACCTACTGACCTGGGACTGATTCAGAAGCAGAAAATGCCAGTCCATTTCACATCTACTATTTGGGTCATGAAATAGGATTAGGACTGGAGTTAGGGTCAGACAGGATAATGGTGCCTTGCCAACATAATTATATCTTTTGCACTCTGTGATCAAAATGACTGAGTCAGGAAGTTTTGCTTTGTGTTGGACCTCATTCCAACTGGCTCCCAAAGAGGCCACCCAGGGTAGTTTTACCCTGATGAATTTACCACACAGCTGAACCTATTTCACAGCCAAGTCAGTGTTCTGAGGTTTGTCTGCCTAGAGAAGACTGACTCCCAGCAATCCAACTCACAGGAGACTGAAGTATAAAACCAGATACCCATATACTCATTAACAATTAGTGTTAGTTCTTCAGTAACTGGATGGCTCCTCCCTCAACTGGAGCACCCTTTTCCCAATATCTGGAATCCCAGGGAGCCAAATCAGTCATCCGCAAGCTGGTTGGTGAGTGTATCCCTAGAGTTACAGGAGGCAGATTTCATCCAAGTCAGGGTGGGGCTTGGTGAGTCATCTCTGCCTCACAGCAGGCACTGTATGAGCTCCAGTTTCATGTTGCTCTTTCTTGGACAGCAGTGGGAAATACGTGCCAAATTCTAGCCTCTTGGATTTACCCTGTTTCTTTTTCCTTTTCATTTGCCAGCCTCGTTCTTTATCTTTGTTTCATGAATTCTCCCTACAATACAATTGATTAGGTTGCTGACTATTCAGTTGTCACATTCCAGCCCTGCCCCCTGAGATTACATCGCAGAGGTCACCTTGATGGGTGGGTGGCTTGTTCCCAAGCTCTTCATTCATTTGTGGAATTTTTTGTTTATTCTTGGATACATTAGGTTGAACTACATGACACTGCTCTTTTGGTAGGTTCATGTGGTTCAATAAAAGGCAGACCAGACCCACTAGGGGTGAACTCCCTTTTGCAAGCCTTGGCGGTAGGTGTGTATGTGTGTGTTTGTGTCCGGGGGTGGGGGTGGGGGGAGGGGGGTCATGCATGCAGCCTGTTACCTCTCTCTGGAAACAAGCTTTTCTGGGCAGCCCCTGGGGTCTGGGACCTCGTCCCTCTTGCTATCCATTCATCCTCTAATTAGAACCCTAATGTCAGGGATGAGCTAATCAAGGACTTGAGGTTGAGGGAGAAGGTCGAATCCTTTGCTATATACGTGACAGAGTATGTGTTCTGAAGCCAGCAGGGCACACGATTAAGGAACACTTAGTCTGTGGTTTGTGTAATCTCGTTAATGTGGTAAACTGGGGACTAAGGGAGACATTTTACAAGTGGCCAAATGCCTATGTGATGTAGGCTGTACACCCAACACTTTTCCCACCTGCAAGTGTTTTCAAGGAGCCATCATTGTTTGTATACTTGTGTGTCTGCTTCCAACTGTCAGCTTACCATACAGCAAGCTCTGTGAGGGCAAGGCCTCTATCTGACTTACTTATCCCTAATTCTTATC